TGCAAATGAACAATATCAGAAAGGGACTATTACTACAGATCCTGAAAACATTAAAAAGATAATAAGAGAATACTATGAACAACTCTATATAAATTTGACAACTTTGAAGAAATAGACCAATTCCTCAAAAACCAAAAACTACCAAAACACACCGAAGATGAGAGAGATATCTTCACATTTAATTTCTTGGTTAAAAATCTTCTGAAAAATAAATTTTCAAGTCCAAATGGTTTTAGTCATGAATTTTACCAAACATTTCAAGGAAGAAGGGAAGTTCTTCAACCTGGTAAAGGGTTTCTACAATGAATCTACAGCTAATATCATACATAATGGTGAAAAAAAAATGAACATTTTCCACCTAAGACTGGGAACAAGCAAGGATGTCCATTCTCAACACTTCAATTCAATATTGTATTGAAAGTCCTAGCCATAAGGAAGAAATAGAAAGAAATGAAAAAGGCATACAGATTGGAAAGGAAGAAATAAAACTATCCCTATTTGCTGTTGATATGATTATCTACATAGAAATCTCAAGGAATCTACAAAAAACTCCTAGAATTTATGAGTTAGTGAGGTCACGGAATACAAGGTCAGCACACAAAATTAATCCTATTTTTATGTACAGTGAAACCCGTGAGAGCCAGAACTCAAAGGGATTGCTTTGTTTTTCCAGGTCTCGCAAGTTTTCCGCCTTTGACAGGGTGAAGGCACCACTTTTCTATCGCTATTTAGTGGAAAATACTTGAGTTTTCCTTCTCTGATAGGTTCCCACCTTATACAGGTTCTGGCTTTTGCAAGTTTTACTCTAGCAGCAATGTACAGTTGGAAAAAAAAAATTTTAACATCACTTAAAATACTCCAAAGAAAATGAAATACTGAAGTATAAATCTAATAAAACATATACAGTATTAATATGCTGAAATCTACAAAATTCTAGTTACATAAATTTCAAGGAGACCTAAATAGAGACATACCATATTCATTGACTGAAAGATTCAACATAGTAAAATTGTCAATTCTCCCTAATTTGATTTATAGATTTAACGCAATGCCAACCAAAATTCCAGGAGTATTTTTTTTTTGTAGACAGAGACAACCTGATTCTAAAATTTATATGTAAAGACAAAAAAATTTTTTTTGAACAAGAAGAATAAAATTGGAGAAATCACACTATCCAGTTTCAAAAATTACTATAAAGCTGCTTTAATCACAGTGGTATTGATCGATGGAACAGAGTGGAGTCCACACAAATATGGCCAATTGATTTTTTTTTAAATCATTTATTGTGTTTTAGGTGAATGTTTACACAGCAAATTTGGTTCCCATTTAACAATTTTTATACAAATTGTTCCATGACATTGGTTACATTTTTCACAATGTGTCAACATTCTTTCCATTTTGTTTGTTCTGTTTCCATTATCTAACTTCTCTGCCTCCTCCTTAGCTTCTCATCTTTGTTTCAGGGTAAATGTTGACTGTTTGGTCTCATATAGTTGATTATTTAAGGGAACACCGTACTCATGGGTGATATTGTTTATTTTATAAGCCAATCTATTATTTGAATGAAAGGTGACCCCTGGGAGTGGCTTCAGTTCCAAGTTCAAAGGGTATCTTAGCGCGATAGTCTCGGGTACCTCTAGTCTCTATCGGTCCTGTTAAGTGTAGCCTGTTTTTAGGAGTTTGAGTTTTGTTCTACATTTTTCTCCTCTTCTATCTACGACCTTCTATTGTGTCCCTGGTCAGAATGGTCAGTGGTGGTGGCCAGGCAATATCTAGTTCTGGTCGCAGGCTGGATGAGGCCATAGTTCATGTGGGCTATTAGTCCTGTGGACTAACTAGTTTTTTCTTTGAATCTTTGGTTTCCTTCATTCTCTTTTTCCCCAAACAAGTAGAGACTAATAGTTGTATCTTAGATGGCCACTCGTGAGCTTTTAAGACCCCAGTAGCTGCTCACCAAACTAGGATGTAGAACACTATCTTTATTAACTATGTTATGCCATTTGACCAAGCTGTCACATGAGTCTATGGTCCCAAGTCTTCAAACCCAGCAAACCAATCCTGCAAGGTGTTTGGTTATGTCTAGGAAGTATCCGTAACTGTGCCCCTTATGTGATTATTATATATATGACTATATATGCCTATGGATACACCTATACACGCACACCCAGATACTCACGTGTGCCTTCCTATACACATATATGTGTACATATCTGCCTATGTAAACACACACATATTTTTGTTGTTATTATTGTTGTTGCAAAGGCCAGTTGACTTTTGGCAAAGGTGCAGAAGCCACGCAAATGAAGAAAGAATTGTCTTTTAACAATTAGTATTGGAAAAATTAGATACCCATATGCAAAAAAGGTGAACTTGATCTAAATACCACAATTTATACAAAAATTAATTCCAAATGGATCATGGATCTAAAGGTAAAACATAAAACTATAAAGCTCAGAAGAAAATATATGAGAATATTTTCATGACTTGGGGTTAGGCAAAAAAGATA